CTTGACTTGTTAGTTGGAGTGCAAGGTTTAAGAGTTTAGGCTCCCCAGCTTCTTAAACCCTGAATCCTGGACTTGCAGCTTATATCTGAGACCTGCGCGGTCGTAGCAGTCTTGCAGTATTCGCAGGTACCGATCCTTGGCGACCGCAGCTCATGACATGGTGAGAGACCTTACAAAGGCTTAGGTACAGCTCAGGATTTGGAGCTTCATTTGGCTGGGTCTCCGAACATAGGGGACCCTAATATAGTACCCTAAATAGCAGCATCCTCATTATAAGGACCCCCAAATTAAGGTACCCCTTATTCTTGGAAACTCCCATTTAATTTGGGTGGGTTGTTGCTCCCTCTCTGGGGCCGTCGCGCTTTACGGCTGTTGAGTCCGCTGAGAAGCCACCGATATGGCCGGTAAGAGGCTTCGAGTTCATCGCGCAAGTCACGAGGAGAGCAGAAATTTAAATCCATATCAGCCCAGGGATCAGAATCACCCACAATAGGCTGACATTGATCACATCCCAAGTCTGACCCTCATGCTATCATGTAGACGTCAACCCGAGCAAGAGTTTTGTGGTGTTAGACTTTGGATTTAAGGTATGTTGACATGTTTTTTCAACAGAATTGGGGCCCAAAAATCCCTGCGGAAATGGATACTAAACAAGACCCGGCCAAGTCCGCTCGTGCCCATGAATCTGGTGGACATTCTGTGTAATCTAGTACTCTTCTGCCTCAACGAACCCTAAGCCTTAAATACCAAACCGTGCACCGTAAACCCCAGAGACTACACTCTAAATCCAAAGCCCTACACCCTAAACATCCCTAAACCCCTGACTCGAATTACGCCCTAAACTAAACCCTTAAATTCTACACCTTAAACCCGTTATCTCCCCCAAACCCAAACCAGAAACAGTACACCCGAAACCCCTAAACCCTAAACTCGAAACCCTAAACCCCGAAACCCTGAACCCGAAACCCTAAACCCTAAACCCTCGTCCACAGCAGCTGAGTTCCTCACCCGGGTCTCCTCCGCCTCACGAAGCTGCTCGCGCGCCACTTCCACCTGGCAAGTACTGACCTCTTCAGGCCCTTTCAGGGTCTCAGGTTTTGGGTTTAGGGTTTTAGGGTTTAGGGTTCAGGCGTTGGGTTTAGGGTTGAGGCGTTTGCTTCAAATTTGGAGTCTACGGATGCAGTTATGCAATCATGGACCTTTCTGAGATGTCAAGCTGTCCAGGACCCGAGGTTTTCCCGAGGCGTCTCGTGGAGGGCTCTTCACCGCAATCTTTGCTCAGGACAGAACGAAGCACCCAGATGCCCACATAAGCGCTTCCTGCTTGGTTTTTGTACTCCAGGGGACTTTCGAAGGATGCACGAGAAAATTGCTGGCAGCACGGTAGCTTGCATCTTGCAGGACTCGGAGGTCAAGAATAACACATAGGCAACGACAGATCACCTAGGGTTTGGGGACAGTCTTCCTGCTTTCCTGAACTACAATGGTGATTCCAACAGTATTATGCTACAGCTGCTGCAGACTCTAGTGCACCGAGACTCCTTCATTCAATCAGCTATGGCTTGCGGGGTGCCTCCTCGCTCCACATCCGAGCCTCGGCGATGACTCTAACCACAAAACATGAAATACAGTGAAATTATGCTGCCACCAGCACCAGCACCGGCACCAGCACTGCTGCGACGACGGCGAGGACGATTACCGTTGTGACTACGAACAACCAGAAGTCTACGAAGACGAGCAGTAAGAAGAGGGCTGCAACAAAAAAGCACTATGAGAAGCAGCAACAGCTGCTGCAGCGATAGCAATGCAGTGAATCAGACCCCGAAGAGCTTGCAAGTGGGAGTCGAGTGATGAAACGAAACAGTATACGGCTTTCAATCGCCAGGATGGAACCGAGGGACGTGCAGTCGAACCAGCTAGAGAGCCTAAAAGAACGTACCTCGCTTCGGAAGCAAAGACAGGGCTTTGGGCCATGGGACTCTGACAAAGAGACACAGAAATCTTTGCAAGGGCCATTGTAAGGCCATGGCCGATGCTTCGGCCTCCTGTAGCTCCTGGAACAGCTGGTCGTACCTTTCACGGCTTCGGGCACCGACGACCTTGTACGAAAGGAATGTGGAAAGGCTGCGAAACAATCCAACGGAGACTACTTTACATTCTGCTTGGCCTAACCTATTTCGAGACAGTACTTCTCTAAGGTCTCTCGAACTAAGGAATTGGATTCAGATTCAACCCCTATCGAGTTGGGCGGAGAGCCTGGTCTGCCAGTCGAGTGATGTGTTGCTGACAAGCGCGGAAGTTGTTCCTCCAAGGTCCAAGAATGGTAGGATGAGCGCTTCGAGCGTTCGGGCCTGTCGTGGCACAGCAAGTCGGCACTTCATGCCGACATGTCGAACAAGAGGACAAAGGGGTAACCCAATGCAAGCAAACGGCAAAGGCCTCAGACGACCACAAGTACAACCGTAACGACCACAACCGCAACCGGGCAAGTGCCAAAAACTAAAGCCCAATGCCATCAGAGCTGAAACGCACGGCGCACTCTTCCTTCGACAGCCGCTTGGTTTTCGGCGGCTGACTCGAAGGGTACCCGGAGCCTGTTCTGTCCGAAGCGCTCTAAGTGAGTAATGAATAATGAAAACATCATCTTATTCATAAGAGTGTCGGGGAACACTTCGAACATGGGTCGTCTCAACACATTGGAGGCTTCAGGCTACCTCCCGACTCATATGTACAGGGTTCGAGCTGAGGCACCCAAATCAAAAACATCAACAAGGATCGCTTGAGGCCACGGATGAGCAATGGAGTGACCTTCTCGTTTTAGAAAGTGAGTAACTTACCGGGCTAATCGAGGTACTATATTATAGCTAGTCGCCCCAAATATAACCCATATCCCTGACAAACACGACTTCCAGTTTCGGGATAAGCTTCTCGAGATCACTGGTACCCGAAGCTCGGTGGCCTTATATCTCGAATACCGCCCGATCTTTGACCATAAACTACAGCAGAAGGCTACAGAAAGCAGGGCCAGCCGACCTTGGCTGGAGCTGGGAGCTGCATCACTCTCTCTGAAAGCATCGCTGGACGAGGACGCAGCGCCCTGGGAGCGCAAGGTCTTGGATTTAGGGCTTATCAGGGGTTTAAGGGTATAGGGTTTAGGTGCTAGGGTTTAGGGCAAGTTTAGGGTTTAGGGTCACGGTTTACATCATCCTGCTTTTAGTGGACAAGATATGGGATCCGTCCTGGTGCAAACTTGAAAGAGGGGGGCAAAGGCATCAATCATAGCGATTCATGATTCATGAGTCATAACAAGCGTCACCTGAGGTTTCTGACGACACTCTGGCACGCTTTTAAGCAAAAATAAGCTACCCGTTTTTTTGGGCTCGAGGCTCAAGCCCCACGAATGGCTTGTACTGCTGTTCAGGCTCGTTGTAGTTATGGGATCTACCGGTAACCGATCCAAACACTCAGTCAGACCAGGGGTCTAGAATCCTGCAGCCTTTTTTCGGTAGAGCCCAACTCCGACAAAACCCTCAAACACTGAGCATTGTGGCCAGCAACTCGAAGCCTTATAGAACTCTCCCAACCCCGAGGCTTTGCCCTTCGCAACCCTAAGCCTGAGCCCTAAAACCCCCAAGCCGAGACCGGAGGCTACGTAGTCATACCTATAGTCTCCATTGTAGTTCCTTTTTGGGGTTACCTTTTAGGATCCTTAACATAAAATTGGTTAATCCAAAAAAAGGAACTACAATGGAGACTATAGGTAGCTTTAAGCCTTTAAGCCTGCTTGGGCTTGATAGCAGCCACAAATCAGCCAAAGGTAAGCCCAACAGACAGGGAGACCCGGATTCGCCTCCGTGCGCTTGGGAGGCTGATTTCGAAAAGCCTCGCTGGCCGCACACACCCAAAATCCTAAATCTCATTTCCAGGCCACGTGCATGACTTCAGGCTTACAGCAGGGCTTCAGGACCCTGAAGGTGTCGAGCCCTCTTGCCCGCACGAGGCTGCAGGTTGTTTTGCAGAAACGAAATGCAGAAACAACGTCAGACAGAGAGAAAGTAAGAACAATACAAAGACGCCGAGAAAATCGCGGGCATATAAACCTCAGCCAATGATATAATTTGCTCCACAAAGTGAGCTGGTAACCTTAGAAATGCTCAATTCTGCTATATACTACAATTATTACACCTTTCCAGCCAAGCAGCCGCATCGAAAGGATCTCGCCCTCCAAAGAAGTTTCTGAACCTCTGCACGCCAAGTCTCGGAAAGGTTCTTCGGATTGCTTCAGTTGCGACTGAACACAGCGAGAAATGAAAGTTCAAACGGCTTCGTCAAGGCTAACTTCGCACCTAATTGCCGCGCTGTGCTGTAGAGAAGTACATCTGCTGCCAATCTTGACAACATCTCCACAGCCCAAACCACCTCAAGCTGAACCGCCTCAGGAAGGGTTGTCGAGAGTTTATAGCTATAGCAGCACCTTATGAAGTCTAGCCGGCCAAGATGCACTTCACGCGCTTCCTCTGGAGACCTTGCAGAGTTGCAAGCTTGAGTCCCTGGAGCCTCGAGGGATTGTAGAATTGCAGACTGCTGTATGCGGCTTCTGGCTTGGTGTTTCGAGACTTGTCTGGGATGCATATGTCATCAGAGCATGACGCTTTCCGGCACTTGGCAACAGAGGAGACCCCGACACACCAAACTCTGGCAAAGCTGCCGAAATGTAAGTCGCACCAAGGAGCATGGATGGTGGCTGCACCTGTGCCGCCTGACACTCACTTATTGACGCTTGCAGGGCTTGTCGCTTCAGTTCGTCAAGGTTGTGTACCAAATTCAATGTGCACGCCCCCTTGCACGCTCCTTGGAACTGTTGAGAAGTCGCTTAGTTTGAAACAGGTGGTGTTGATATCACAACGGATGCAACATTTACAGGTGCCTGACCCAGAGTCTTACAGCTATTGCAGCTGTGGTCGCTGCTCTCCCGATTCCCTCGTCCGGAGCCAGTGTGCCTCGCTTTGCCGGGCTTTGGCTCGTGCGGCCGCTTTGTCGTAGGCCTTCCTGAACAAAAGCGGCGGACGGGATCCGCAGACTTCGAGAGCCGAAACCCCCAGAGGCACAGACACTCTCACCCCGATGTGTGATGTCTGTGTCTCGTGTGTGTGTGTGTTCTCGCGTGCCCTGCGCCTCTTCTCGGGGTCCCGCAAAATGTCGTAGGCTGCTGAGATCGCCTGGCAGTGGCAGAGACTCGGCTGTCGAACGGTTCCTGGAAGTTCCAGATTGCATCCGGTCCGCCTTCGTTGTTTCTGTCTGTCTTATTCCGGTTTCACTTTCGCAAGACTATGCCTCCTCTTCCTCCTCCTCCTATGTTCCCCAAACATCTGAAGCAATCGCTTCGCCAGCTAGTGACTGTGAGTGGCAGCTGCCTAAACCGAAACCCCTCACGAACCGTATGATACCAGGCACGTTGTAGATGCTAGAGGCTCGAGTTGAACGTTTAGCCGGGTCCTGTTTGAGGCGAGGAAGATAAGATATGCAGGGAAGACAAGGCAAGGACTCCAATGACGTGCAGGTCTTATGCTGAGCACGAAGATGCACGAAGCATACAGGTCTAGTCTGGGGCGCCCTCCCGCGAATCTTGCGAGAATCGATTCCCTGACATCCTCGAGGGCAATTGATACAACACCTCTGCAGGAGGCTAGAAGATCGACCCAACAGCACCTCACAGTCCCAAGCAAGCCTTTGGGCGGGCTCTTTCGCCAGAGTCTCTACGAATGCACAGAATTGAACACCAGCTGACAACCTAAAGCCCTAAAACCTCGACCAGCCAGGCGGCCTGGAATCGCTTCTGGGCGGTCTCGCTGCCTGGCGTGCTCTTTTTCGCTCTGGCTCACACGAGGAACCACAAACATGAAAACAGGCACATTCATTCCCACCGATGTAGCATACGTACCTATGACCACTAAGACCCAATGGCCCTACTTCCAATGACCCATCTGATGTTCGCATCCCAGCCCCGCCTTGATTCTTGTCGGAATGATATTTCAAAGCCAGCTTCTTGTAGGATCGCCTGCGACTTCGGGCTGGGAGTTCGGGGCTCGAGGTCTTAGGTCGACACTCCAGGTTTAGGCTTGCTGGGTTTGGGCTTTCTGGACTTGGGTTTCCGGGTCTTCGGTGTCTGTTGCCGCTTCATAGTCAGGGGTTGCGTGTTTCAACATGCTTGCGAGATAGGAACCGGATTCTGGGCAACATCCGCTTGCAGTTTTCAACAACATGTAGTGGGCTTGCCGAATTAACAGGGAAAGACGTAGCAATCCTGCGACACACTTGGAGACTCATACTGACGCTTATAGTTCGACGTTTAAGAGAAAGTTCAGCTGATTTGTGTGTTGCTGGTCACACTGGCTGCCTGATGGTCTCGTCGTCAGCATCTTTGTCCACGCGCAGCACCTGCACAAACAACATCAACATGCAAAGCACTCTCACCTAGAAGCACGCCTGCGCGACCGCGTCTACGACATGGTTCACCGATACTTCAGAAAGCAAACCCGCAAATGCTACACAGACTGTACATTCAACCAAGTGATGAAGATGCAGCATTGCACATCATTGCACACTCTACCCCTTCTTGTACGACGCGATCTGCATCTGTCCCTGCCGGATTGAAAGCTTGAGGCATGAGGCAGTTGCTGGACACAGGATCCCGAACTTGATTGTCAACACTTTCTCCTGCTTTTCGAGGATCAATTTGCTGCACGATTCGCTTCCAGCTTCCAGGGCCGCACAAAATATACAATCTCACCCCTAAGTTCACTGCAACTTCCTCCACCTTCACCTCATGAGCTCGAGTTCAGAGTCAAGAGCTGCTAAAAATGTCCTCGGGCTCCAGAGTCCTGCACTACGTGCCTTGTACGGGTCGCAAGCATCTTCGCCCTCCCAGTCAAAGGCGTCCTCTTCCTCCTCCTTCCGTGTTGAGGCTCCAGCTGCGGTAGAGCTTGTCGCCCTCAACCCCGGACTAAGGGATTCAACAAGCCAGGAAATGGAGCCAACCATTGGGGTGTGTGGAGGATCGCCCAAGCAAAGCCTTTACTAATCCGCTTTGCGGGATCATGCGGAAATCCAAGGTACCAAACAAGAATGCAGCAGAATCAAGAAGCGGCCCTGCCCAGCCTACAAAGCAACAGTTGGCGGAGCATCATCCACAACCTGAGCCTGCACACATCCAACCTCCACCCACGGCAAATCGATCATCCTTGCTTGATCCGACCCAACCCTAAATCCTAAACCCCACCTTAAATCAAGCCCTTCCTGCCCGCTAGTCCTCGGGCTCCTCTGGAAGCGTCTCGCTCGGCCTCAATGCAGATTTCGGGCATTGCCTGCATGGCCCTGAACCTCGAAATCCTTCGGTTCGGTAGGCCCAAAATTTACGGGAGGTTCTCTGAATTGCAAGTCTTATTCAGGGAAGCGTAGGTGAGGGTTTCTCTGTCAAAGTGTTACAAGCCACAGGCCGGCTGCAGGGGGTCGCAAGATGAGACAACACACTTCGCTCAGGGCTACATCCTGCTAGCAACTACCTATAAACCCCCAAAAGTAGGAAAAATAATGGCCCAAAACCCATAAACGGGTATTATTCTACATACCTCTGGGGTCCAGGTAGCAAGTGAAGCCGATGTCACTGATCCAGAATCTGTGAAGCCAAAACTCCAAGACGTAGCTTAACCGGACATGCGCCAGTTAGCTGGGGGAGGCACTGCTGCGAAGAGGCCGAGGGCCCCTCCTGCATTGAAGGAAAACCAGCAGCTCTGTGAAATTAGCAAACAGGGCTTCTTATTAAGATTGGAGCCATAGTCTTCAATTACGGCTTCTTGGACTTTGTTTTGCGAGTACAAAGATACAGTTGGGGCATGCTGGCAGACACTAAGATTTACAGGCGATGTGGATGCTGACTGCAGCTTGCTCGTGTCGGTAGTGATTGAAGATGCACTAAAGAAACCTAGAGAAGACGAAGTGTCCGGGTGCTCCGCAAGAGTTCTGAGAGGTGTTTTCGGATCTGTTGCGGACATCACTATGAACATATCCGGACAAGATGGCGCGGCTCTTCAACCTTAAGAGGTGATTGTGTTTTGCAAGTTTGAGCTGAAGCTTCTCGAAATTGCAGGTGGGCCTGCGAGCTGGCTGCTTGCTCCGGGTCTCCTGCCAAAGCCAAAAAGCCACTGCAAGCAGGATGGTAGCCGCTTTATCATCCTGCATCATATGCAGGCAAGGCATCAATCCTGGCAGATGATGCAGTCTGCCATGGTGGTTATGGCCGCACCGGTGGTGGCTCATGATGAGGGCAGGTGATGAAGGAAACGTATAGGTCATGACGAAATTCATCGTCTTACAGTCGAGTCAAAACCGTTGATGCAAGTGCGCAACCTGCACGGGAGTCGGCTGGCGGCTCGTCAGATGAGCGCCTGAGCGCAAGCGTCCACGCTTATCAGCATTGTGCGGAAAGGTCTCTTTGACAGCTTGAGTAATCGTGCGGTTACTTACTGCAGATACCCGTGCAACAACTCTCATAGCATTTCGGCGGTCATTCAGCAAAGATTTGCTGAAGAAGCCTCAACAACTGCGCAAGTTCAGACTTACCTCAACCCCGACTCCCCCCAAGAGACTCTGGGATGCCCCGCGGTGCTGACGTGTTGGCAGCTCCCGCCTTTTAATAAGAAGGAGAAGCAACAAGCAGATCTCCACGAGCCTTCACCCTTACTTTGGGCCCGAGTTTGGGCTTTTGTTTGGTCTCGGGTGATACAAAGGCGGTTTTAGATGTAATGTGACGCCTTGGGGGCAAAAAGAGCTGACGTTATGCTGAAGTCATAGGTTTACAGCTTCAATTGTCGGCATGTTGAGTTGACTATCTTGGGCATCGCTGCTTCAATCCCTTTTGCAGTACGTGCTCAAGACTTCATTACTGGACAATCCTGACAACTCGAAGTCTCAACCCCCAAAGGCGCGAACTTGCTCATCAATGGTTCCACCTTTTGTCCCAATATAGTTATACCCTGCGCCCTGAACCCTAAACGGCCCTAAACCCCATAACCCATTCCTAGCAAATTATATGAACAAATGAGGCTCACTTCGTGGGATCCCCGGCAGGCTCGGAGGAAGAAGCAGCGGGCCCTGACGTCGAGGAGGCTCCTTTGTGCACATGATGCTGGGCTGAATGATAATCATCTCAATAACCAGATGGGAAGATGGGAAGATTACTAAACACATCAACAATACTCGAGATCAGAACAAATAGTCAGCAGTCATGATTCATCATCGCATGATGGTAGTGTTGCGAAAAGCAGATTCATGCTAGCAAGCCTGTCTCAGGCCACTCGCACCCAGAAACCCGAGCAGCTTCAAGCAAATCAACCGCAAAAACAACAACCCTCAAGAACTCAAAAACCATGGGTGCACTTTAGGTCTGTCTTTGGGCTTCCTGCACGACCAAGGCTGAAATCCCATTCAAGGCCCAGTAGTTCCCGAATGTCCCATGCATCCTTCATTTGCCTCGCATTTTCTGCGAATGTTACAAACAAATGTATGCCTGAAAGTATGTGCATGTATGTACATATCCAGCACATATGCACTTGTATGTGCATGTGCTGAGAACTCGTCGTTGGTTGTGTTCCGCAAATCTCTCGGCATTCGGGGTTCTGAACCCTGACCAGGAAGAGGTTGGCTCCATGGGACGGTGGCATGCAATTGGCATGCACGTGCTTATGATTATTATTTATTATTAGTATATATGTATGTATATCTTTTTATATATATATATGTATATATATATGTATATATATATATATGTATACATATGTATATATATATATGTATATATATATATGTATATCTAGATATATGTATATCTATATATATGTATATTTATTTATTTCTTATTTCTATACATATGTATATATATATATGTATATCTATATATATGTATATCTCTATATATA